CAACACTGCATGCTTATCATATATGCCACCCACAGGTGTGTGAGAACATTAGGACCACTGCTTATTGCACCAGGTGTCTCTTGATGCCCATAACGAGGGACTTAGACAGGACTGTATACAGAAAAGTGGAGGGTCCGCAGACTGATGATTACATACTTGGAGGCCAACTCCAAGTTTTTAGTCCACCGCTATTCCCCTGGGGAAGGGGGGGGGGGGTCAGCTCTTCGTGACTACAGCCCCTTTCTCAAGGAAGTGGGCAAAATTATGGGGAGAAACCTTCATGTTTGTTTATTTTGGGGGAAGGTTGGGTTATTTTTTGCTGTTACTCTCTCTTGCTCATTTTTGGAGATAACGTCCCTGCACCAATGTCAGTGACGTGCGTTCGCCCCCACCGAACCCGTCAGCTACACCTCGTCAGCTACGCCTCGCCTTCGTCCAAGCCCAAACTCCTGCAGTCGTCCCGTCGCTTCAGCGCACATAAAGAGAGACCTACTTACCTAAAGATCTCCGAAACTTGGTAATTATTATATAAGTGAATATTTGAGGGAAACAAACACCCTAAATTACACTCCAATGGTGGACGGGTCCTAAGGCTATCTAACGGACGGGTCACAACAATGCGGAACAGTAGGATGGACAAGTGGCGCAGACCTGCGCCGTTCGTATCTGGTTCTCATATCAAGGCTTTTATAATAATTGACCGTGTAATGGCAATACATTTTACTAATTTGCTATTCGAATTATATCATAAATGAACATTTTGGCCTCTGTAAATGCTCTGAAAGTAGCAATTTGGTTCACTGCTTATGTTAGCTGAATAGATATAGAAGACATCATGAGTACAGACGTGAGAACATGAGTCATGACATTGAATGACATCACAGTTCTCGATGCAATGGAGAAAACCCGACCGTCAGATATTTATAACTGGAAAAAAGTTGTCACGCTGCAACCGTTGGTGAGTATGTTAAGATTTGTACCAATTTTGAAGTCACAAGTGGTGTTCAGCTTATCTCTGTTTTAATCTCGCCACAGCGAGAACCGTTGCAGGTGCACTACAAAGATGCGAGGGAACCCATGAGACCAGAATTTCTTGGAGCACTTCTGGAGTTTTAGCACATGGAGCACGTGGGCCTTTCATCTACATCAAAAGCCCTTTCCTGGATAAAGAGGTCAAAGCAATCCTGCAATCTCACCTGGTCCGCTATTGACGGGAGCGGTAGGCGCAGATACCAGAACGGGCGGAACGTTGCAGACGCGTGGTTAGACTATGTACCGCTGCGTGGCCTTCATTTCGCGACGGGGCGCGGGTAGTCACCGGACCGGCTGGAACAGTCTTACGTCCACTGGGTTCGAAAAGTCGGGACAGGCCTGTAGCATGCATGTGACGTCACATACACGAATGAACAATGCATGCATGTGACGTCACATGCACGAATGCACGTCACACGACAAGCACACTGACAGCAAACGCATGGTTAAAGACTGGTCACCAGGGGTGCCGAATACGTGACAGTGTTGGCCTTAATACCAAATTCGTGTGGAAAACGTACCCACAAATAAGATAAACGCGCGCAAAGGTTAGTCAGCAAATGCGCGTCCAGCAGAAAAAGTGCATGGCGAAAGGACGTTCGGAATAAACAGTGTGCAAACAGTTAACATTATGGTCGTCAATAAATGTTTGCACGATTTAAAGGACGCACGTGTAAAATATTCGCTTGGACAAAACTTCATCAGCAAAAAGTTTGCGTTGGAAAAGCTCGTAAGCATCTAGGGTCGCCCTACGCATGCGCGCACGTATGGATTGAATACATATGTGTCGCAAGCAGGCATACGCATAGAAAGCATGCTAATGCTCGCAACGGATATTATTCGCTTGAGCTACGTGCGTAAATTGCGCACGTACGAAAAAGGTTCGAAAACATTAATAGCATGGTAATACATACGTATGGGCATGGGTGTTGATTTGTATTCTTTTGGGTAAGACACCACCCCCCTCTAATGTCCAATTTGCCCCCCACCCCCACCCCAAAGTGATGAGTTAGACCCCTATCCTTCTGTAGCCTAAGTAAAGCCAAGGTATTACAAATGGGAAATAAAATTTACAGGATTAAAACAAATCTTATTTTTCACAGGTGAAAGGAACAAGGAAAGAAGATTGAAATGTCATGCTGAGTTGAGTGCAGCTCACTAGGCTAGTCACATTGTTGAAGCTCCGCGTTACTTTGGTCTAGTTTTGTGCTGTTGCCTGAGTGCTTTGACATTGTTCAGCGATGTTCCTTGGCCTGCAGACCGCAGGAAGTTGCATTATTTTGAATGGCGTCTTACTGAAACATAAAAGCAAACTGGCTGACTATTTGCACCCAAAACTATGATCAGGTTAGAAGTCGCCTCTGTTCGAAAGAGCCCTTGAAATGTGCCAAGCCCCCACTTCTTCGACACCCCCGCTCACACCTTTCCCGTGCCTGTTTTACAAAACTACGCCCTTTTTTATCTGTCTTGGGGTAAAAAAGGGAGTGATGACCATCGCCTATGTGCTGATATATATATATATATATATATATATATATATATGTATATATATATATATATATATATGTATATATATACACATATATATATATCATATGTTGGCTAACCATAAAACCAAAATGTTAATGTATGAAATCCAATAAGTTTTCGTACCTCTACCCTCTACCCTTAAACACCCGTTCTGGTGAGCCGCCCGGACCCCTCATCGGGCCTCATCGAAAACTTCCTTTGGTCAGCTCAGGGCCATTGCCAGCACAGGGCCCTCTGTAGGGCGCTGTGGGCCTTTGATTTGTACAAGGCCCCGACCGGCGTTAATCACTGGCCCCGGCTTTAAAGCTGATTGAGAAGTGGGTGCTCAGGCACATACCGACACGGGGCCGACTATGTGGCATGGTGGTACCTGACCGACATGTAGGCTCATATCGACTCAGGTGGTCCCGAATGGGCGCAAGGGCTCTCTGACCGTTATTTGAGAGTCCATCTTTGGAGTTCGGGCCCCTAAATAAGACTCCGATCAACCCTTTATGCTCTTAGACCCTCCAATTGGGCCATTGGTCTTCGGACCCAGTGGACCCTCACTAGGCTCTTCGGGCCTCCTCGAACACTTCATCTGGCCGACTAAGGGCACCTTGACAACACAGGACCCCTGTTAGGCGCTTGTGAGGCCCTAAGCAACGTAAATGCCTGGCTCAGGCTTTGTCTGCTGTGTGATTGTTTGTTCGGTGTCTGACCAAAATATAGGCCGTTATCAGCTCAGTGGGCCCCTGATCACCGCACAGGGCCGTCTGTCTGGCATTGGAGTCACCGGCCCTGCGGGCCGGGGCCCCTGAATGAGATATCCGGCTGGCCTTTCGGGCCCTTCGAGACCCCAAATTGGGCCCTTAATCATAGGTTTCTAAGGGCCCTTCGGGCCCTCGAAACCTAAGGGAGGGGAGCACGTGGCACTGTGGCCTTACCTCTGCCTGCGCTACTGAGAGCAGGGGCTAAAAATATGAAGAAATTGTATTGCTGTAAAACGCACGAACGAAAACAGCAAATGTCTGCGCTTGGGCAGTACAAAAAAAGTATATGGCTTCATGACATACATCACAACTGCTGGTGTGTCCCATCGAATGGTGAAGGTTTGGAGGCGATCAGAACAGTAAGCTCTGAATGTGTTGCCTACAGGCAAAATTATGAAATTTGTGAGATTCGACGGCCTTTCTTGTTGTAAGGTCACTAAATATTCAACTGTAGCGGGAAATCAGATATTCACCACAGCGCAGCCAGTGGTGAAGGTTTCGCTGCGATCAGCTGGTAGTCTCCGAGAACTGAGTCGACTGCAAACAATAATTTTGGAATTTGTCTTCATGACTTTTGACGTGACCTAGGATCACCGAATTTACAGGCTCGAGAGGAAATCAGGAATGGCACATCGAATGGTGAAGGTTACAGCAGCGCTCGGCGCAGTAGGTTCCGAGATCCTTATCTGCTTTTCCATGGGAAATTTCCATTCGCATTTATGAGGTGTTTTACCCCAATTAAGATCTTGATATTATGACCCGTTACTCACCTTGTTCCATAGAATCGGTTGAGGAAGGTTTCAAGACAACTTAAAGAATTGTTACGGAAAACGAGCGTGCCTGCTTCATATGTCAGCTTTTTAGTCAGTGCAAACACAAATAAAATACGGAGCCTTGTTGCAGGTTGCAAACCGCGAGGGCGGGGAAGGTGAGTGGGCATGGTGCCGTGGCGTGTATATTATTAGCCTTCGTACTCTGAGCCTCATGAACCGGTATTGGTAAGCTTATCTATATTACGGTACATCGCCACCATTCAGCGTTTTCACCACGTAAATCGGCGGTGCGCAACGGACGTGCCGTTTCGAGGCATTTGCTTTACCGTGTGCACGCACGAGCTGTTGGGCTCTAAATGTGTGAGACCGGGGTGATATACTGGGAAATCTGCTCATGAATTGAATACTTTCGAAATGCGTATATAATGTGTGTGCATATGTTACATGGAGAAGTGCGCACTGTTTCGTGGTGGCGAATACCAAACCTATTGCACGACTACCGAAATCTATGAAAAACAAGCAAAACGCTCTGAAAACCGCTTTGTGGACTTCCAAAAAACATACCGGAAGAAACGAAGTTACATGATGTTATGTCTTCGCCTGCTTGTGGCGCTGTAGCAGCCTTTCGCAAACGCTGACAATGTGCGTATACCTATGCGTAGGCGCGCCAAACACTGGGTAATCTGACAGGTTAATGCAAAGCCTAATTTTTAAAGCTATTCAGGGTGCGTGGGGTAGATACACTGTTCTAATCATGGTGGTCTTAACTCCAACAGGACTGCCGTGCGGGGTGGCTGTTTCCTGCTGTTCGTCTGCACCTTTCCCGTGCTGATCTGCTGGATGAGCCCGTTCAGCGTTCTTTGCTCCCTCTGTGTTCGGTCTGCACGCAACATGTCCTCGGCTGGCGGAAGTCGGTCTGAGCGAACTTTCCGTGGTGTACGTCACGGCGCCGTCCCATGAGGTGGCCAAGAAGCTGGCGGCGATGCTGGTGAAGGAGCGACAGCTGGCCGCCTGCGTCAACATCGTGCCGGGCTTGACGTCCGTGTACGAGTGGGAAGGCGTCGTTCAGGAGGACACGGAGGCGCTGATGATTATAAAGACGCGGTCGGCCCTGCTGGAGGAGCTGACGGCCGCTGTTGTGCAGCAGCACCCGTTCGACTGTCCTGAGGTACTGGCTTTGCCCGTGCAGGGAGGCAGCGCCCCGTATCCTCAAGTGGGTCAGCGATACGGCGAGGGGCAAGCCGGATCAGTGAAGGGCAGGTACAGGTGGAACTCTAATTACGACTGCGGGATAGCTTCCCCTTCTCGCAATCTGGTCACCTGCTGGTGCGCTGTTACAGTTTGCGTTGTGTATGGTTAATTAATCTTCGGGAAGGTTGGTGCTCATTGACGTGTAATGGAATGTGGGTATGCATTTGTTGTTAAGGGAGCTGGTAAATGCCACAATGGCAAGCTTTCACATTTTCCCGACGCCTAACAGTGATTTGTAATAAATAACCTTTGTAATTGTCTGGTTATTTTTCTGCAGACCACTTCGCCAACATTCAAAGTCCGCAATAAATGGTTCACTTTGTATTCGAAGGGAGTTACTCATCTGTTCGACGGTTGTGTCTAGGGGATGTAACAATGTCTGAGGGTTTGTGTGTGTGTGGGGAGGGGGCACAAAACAGGATTTAAGTGGTCAAACTGGATTTTGGGAACGCTGACATTTGACACGTTGATGGGGAGAGCGTGCACTCTACGTGAAAAATGCGGAGTATGTCAAGTAAAAATGAGCATAAATTATATGTAAAATAACGCGTATAAGTGAGCAACCTATTCGGGAAAATAATAAATATATGTACTTTGGTCCATAAACAACACATTATTCAATAGTCCGCAATGATAACAAAATACTGCATATTGGATGCCTTTCTAGAACCATTCCCCCTCAAAGACTATGTTTCCCAATCAACTGTTTTTGAGTAAAACAGAGTTGAGAGGTCAGTAACAAACTGAGTTGTTAAATGGGGGACCTGGCATATAACTGCGTTCGTTGCCGGAGGATATCATCACCTGAAATTTTATTTGCAGGGGCCTTGCAGCAGGGTGGGGGAGGAGAGGGAGCAGTTGCCCCGTACCTAACGGCAGCGGGCAAGAGTGTGTTTTGCCCCCCCCCCCCGCAGGTTTTGGGGGCGCCTCTTCCAACTTAAAATGTTGTAGCTGTACGTGGAGTATCAAAATTCAGATCAAGGAGGCCCTCATAAATGAGCTGGAAAGTAAGAATCGGGCCCAGAAAACCCTTTGCTACAGCGAGATAGCGGTTTTCATGGACATAAGGTTATCTTCATGAATAAAGTAGCAAACGCTCTTGATCAGGAGGCCCAATGTTCTGTTAAGGAGGTCCCTTTGCTGGCTTGGAAGGCCCCCCGCTACGAACTAAAAGACGCCTGTTCTGGTTTAGGAAACGTCCTGTTTGTTCAGGAGGTCCCGTTTTTGAGACGGGGGGCAGAGCTCATGCATCGGATGATCACGGTTCGAGATCAGGATTCCCCGTTTTGGGATAGCGAGCCCACTTGGCTGAATTTGAAGGCCCATTCGTGAATCGCAAGCGTCCTGTTCTGGATGAGGAGGTTCCTCTGCGCATCGGGAGACCTTTTTTTGAGGCATGAGACCCTGTTTTAGGTTAGCCAAACTCTGGTGGATAGCAATAAGTCCCCAATTCTAGATTTTTTAGCTGCCTACATTTATTATTTAGAACGGATACATGTGACAGCGGATTAGGTAGAACATGCTTTCGGTGCCCCTCCCGTTGAATACGAGACTGCGTGGCAGAACTCATTTTATCCACGGACTCCCTGGAAAGTCCTGCCCCGCCACACAAAACCCGCGGTACTGCCCTTGACTGCTGATGACATGTTCCAGCTTTGTGGCCCTGGCCTCTGCAGTGAGAAGCCGGCTCAACATTAAAAACAGGCAACTTTGAGGACCTGGACTTTTTATCTCAGTGTCATGACTTTGCTTTTATCACGATGTATTTTCAGGCATGGTAAAGTGACTTTCTCTTAAAATGGTGAGTGCAATTTCGTGATTAGACATCTTCTGAGTGCAGGGACTAACTGATTTTGCCAAACCTACCTGAATGCCGATCGGTACACGATGGAACTGAGAGCTAGAGTACACGGAAAGAACCGCTATATTGCACGGATGATTTATGTTTGCAATATTCGTACATACCTTTGGCGTTTTGTTCACTTTTCAGACCGATGCGACCCTTTGTCCTTAAGAAGTAGTTACCCAGACGTGGCCACGGGCTCAAGCGACTGCTTGCCTGTTTCGAGCGAGTTATATTTTCAGACCGCCAATGCAAAAATAATGGCGTAAAATTCACTTGCAGCACGTGCCACGCGTTCTCCGCCGAACACAAACGCACGGCACTTCGCATTGCACATTAGGTCTGGCGCACGCGGTACGTGTTAACACGTGCTCGGGTGAGGGGGTCAATTTGACCCCCCGAAGGTTTTTCCGGAATAAGTTCCGAATAGCGCGGTGCAGACGCGGTAAATTTTGCCCAACTGTAGAAAATTGAATAGTGGATCGTTTGGTACAGCAAATTTAGATGTACCGTGTAAGGCCATTGACCTACGGCAGGCCAAAGTCAGGCCATGGATTCAGCGAAGACTTTCTAGGGAATCGTGCAATCTAATGCAGCAGTGAAGTGTTAGACAAAGCTGCACATCTCTGTGATAGTTTTCCAGGCAACGCAATAACTGAATTCACGAGTTCCATTGACCCAGGGCTAGATATGAAGGTCAGACCAAGGTCAAAGCCAGCCTGCTTCATTACTCTTGAGCTTGCTGTATGAGGAAGCTCCTGGTACTCATTGCGAATTTTATGAAAACAGGAACGATATTATGCATATTCCATGGACTTCTAAAATCTCAGATTGACCCGGGTGAACATTTTGTCTTAAGGCGTATTTTGCCTAGGATGTTATCCTTGACGCTTATTCAAATACAACAGTCAAAGCAGTCTTGTAAGATTTTGATCACCATGACCTTCAAGAAGTCACAAAAGGTCGTTGACCTTAAATAAGCGCCGTTGGCTTTTTACTTATAATAGGTATCTAGGTGCACGGTGGTTGCACGAGAAGGGCTGGGCACTTCGGACGCCAATTTTGGCTCTGATCTTGTTTGACCTTATTTGACCCGGAGACTATGACCTAGAACCTCAAATCTCGACAAAGGTGAGCTCACATACAGGCCAACACTCCCCGTGAGTTTGGTGCCTCTAGCTCTCTTAGTTTCTGAGATCTCAAGGAACGGTCAAATTGACACCCACCCAAGCAAAGGGTATTCAACCGGCCACCCGTGCGCGTGTTAAAACATCACTCTCCAGCGGCCGGCATTCGGCCTTGCCAACGCAAATGAGCACGACAGGACGAGCGGACAGATCGACAGCCGAACGGACGTCGTCTTGGCTGACACAATTTATTCCAAAAGTCTGAAGACTTGGGCATGCACGCGTGCTCTCCCAGGCCATGGAAATGAAGGCGAACAAATGCCTGCAAAAGATGGTGGGCTACGGGCAAGGATGTCATTGCGCTATCTGCAGGTCTAAGCACTATTTAGACAGTGGCTGAGTGGGCGAAGCGAAGGGATGAACGCAACCACACAGGCCTGGCCAAATCTGAGGCTATCTTCTTCGCTTGCTTGCTTATTTGTGTGAATTTCGTGAACTTATCACGATAGTGAAAACGTATAGTGTCGATCAGTAGGGCACCACAATCGATGGCGGGTTTTTGCAGCACTTAACGTTATGCCCACGATTTAGTCATTTAAAACACGCGTGATCGGGCAGTTCAGCTTGAGGATGCCCGGCAAACACGGAACGTGAAATGTGTTATCACTAAAAAAAACATTTCTTCCTTCATCCGTTCAAGGCGTACGATTCGGCACGCTTGGCACCTCTTTGTTTACGCTGCGTTTGCGCAATGTATGCTACATGCAGATCTGCCGTCCAAAGACAAAAAATGTTAAGAGCCATTGGTTTGCAAAGCGCTTAGGCTTTTTTGCCTTTAGATGGTAGATGTGTATGATATGCCGTGCGCCGCGAGATGGTAAGGCACAAGACTTACGCTCCAAACCAAGCAGCGTTATTTCTAACTCGTGTTTTCACCAAATCTGCGATCTACGTGTAAAGACTGTATAAATGAGGCACGAAACACAGCCTGGATGTCATGCATGCCTGTCTTAATTATATTGAGGCAACAACAGTGTTGTGTAGCATTGGTATTTTGCGAACTGAATATTTCGCATAACGTTTTCAAAATGTCCATGATTATCAATTTAGGAAATGTTGGATGAAATGCAAACCAGTTCAGATACGTTTAATGAGATTAAGGGTGTAGGAGGTCGTGCACAACTTGCGCCACGCATCGAGTCGAGGCGAAAGGGTAGGGGCGGGAAGGAAAGGAGAGGGCCGTGAAAGGTAAACGAGGCGTAACAAAAATAGCATTTGTTAGAGAGCGTTACGTTATGCTCATGTGGAGTTTCGAATCGTGCTGAAATCTTTAAAAACACGCTTTAGCCACATAACTAGGGTTAGGGATTCCCGTCCAGCGTAACCACCTAGTGGACAGTAGGATACAACGCTTAACACTGACTGGGAACGCGTAGAATAACTTGTGGACTACCTCCGCGCTCCGCCTGTGCAGGGGAGGATTACCGTTTACCGTTACAGTGTTTCACTGCATCATTGCATTACAATACATTTATAACCATATGCTCAAAGTGATACTTGGGAAATACATTGTCCTACGCGTTTAATCTGTGTAGGAGGCATACATAATAGGATTGCTAAAGTAACCTCGCCGAGGATTTGGTGGAAAGAAAATAATGTACTTGTGTGGGCGTCTGAGTGATTGGAAGCCATCCACTCTAAACATGATGCTAGGATTTATCTATCCGCCGCAGCCCTAAGGTACCAGCAGCACATGAGGGAAGGGAAATCATCGAACTACAATATCTTGAACGATAAGTTATAAGTGGCATCAAACGCATAATCAGAGGGCACCTTGCAGGCCGACAGCCAAGATTGCCGAAGAGCAAGGCGTAAACTAGGCAGGCGTCAGATGGTGGATTGCTGAGCGCCAGGAGAGAACAGGATGCAGTGATGGGTGATGAAAGCCACATCATCTGTGCTGCAAGTCGCACACCGCCAGCTGAGTTCTTTATTGGGCCGGGTGAAGATATCTCTGATAAAGTAAGATAGTGATATACTGGAATGTTTCCGTGGAAGCTTCTCGTATGGGTGGTTATGTTCCCAAATGGGGTATCCAGGACGTTAAGAACTCCGACCCCGGTTGTTACGACCAAGGCCATCTGCTACCGGAAGTGTGAACACGAGGGGATGCTGTGTTCCCTGTCAAAAGCGTGTCCTAATGGTGGTCGTGTGTTCTGGCCGGAATTGGCAGCCCCACAACATGAATGAGACACTCAGGCCCCTAGAGAGTCGTAAGTCCTCCACGA